CACTCTAGTGTCACCAACTTAACAGTAAAATTAACACAAAATCGAAACAAAAACACACCAAAACCTTAATGTTAGCAGCGAATTTTTTTAATTATTATTGCTCAATCAGAAACGAAGGAAAACACATAGGAATTCCGATCGTTATCATTTAAAGGCCCTTATAACCGATTATATATCTGCTTAGAGTGTATATGTAACCTAATTCAAACAAACTTATCAGATCGAGTGATGTAGCCAAGAAGAAAATAACGAGAATCGGTTATATAGTAGTATGCAGCAAGTAAATGCTACTAAGCCATGGGTCCTTGCAACCACGGAGCTTAATATCCAAACACGAGGTCCTTGCATTTCCTACTGCAGCTGTAGACATCACGACCTTTTTTCTATAAAATAATTAGATAAGAAACTGCGCAAATCCACATGAACTTATATAATTTTTTATGAATATTTAATGTATTCTACGAACTTTCAGTAATGTAAAAATATATATATAGGTAATTATTTTTGAATCCAGACTAAAATGTTATTATGTCATATATAAAATTGATCCGGGTTCAAAAAATTACCCAAATTGTCAAATAACTACATAATCTTATTATCATCTATTTGATATTACGTAAAAAATGGAACTTCAAAGTTCATGATTGAGCCTAATACTATTAAGCATAACAAATGTCGACATACTACCTTTAGTTTATGAGTTATTAAGAGACGAACTGGAAGTGAGACGATAGAGCGAGCCTTCACTGCAATGCTATTATACGTTCTTTATAAGAAAGCATTTGCACTACTTTAAATTATCACAGTTAAAAATAAAACGCCTTCTATTAAAAGTCATAAATTCAATAATAGTGATTAAAACTATTTAAATTTTGATAATCTAAATTAGGATGAACACTTTATTATAAAAAGTACATTAATTTTAATTTAATGATGGCGACGAAAGACGAAACATTTCGTCAAGTAACTTCAAATTGATGAAATGACGAATAGCATTTGGGAGGAATACTGTAAATGTAAAAAAAATTAATAATTGCGGCTTCTCTTTTAAGAACCATTGAAAAGTTAATGCCTGCTAGAGATGCTAACCGTTAAAAACGAGCTATATTTAATAAGCCCGTTAAGTATACATTAGGCCGTTCAAAGTTGATTAGTTGGTTAACGTCATCCCCCCTCTCGGTTAACTGTTCCCCCCAAAATTAAACAAGCCAATCACAGCACAGCATAAACATCATTAATCATGTGATTAAGGTTGACCAATGAGATTTGATCAAATATTCTTGGGAACATATGTGTTTGTTTAAATTTTCCCCCCCCCCCCCCCCGTGCCTGAGCCCAAAATATTGACGTTAACCAACTAATCAACTTTGAACGGCCTTATTATACTACTGAACAAAAAGAATTTGAAATCCGAAGTGACTGTATTTCGACTAAACAGTAAGTAAAGGTCTTTTTATACGTGATAGTATTTTGACTAAATACTTAAACTATATGGTTCCATGTAACATTTAGGGTATTATGACGTATCAGCAGACATAATAAACCAACTAGTTCAAACAAACGAGTCCCGAACTGAGTCAATATAGTTCCATAGGTTGCTCTCAATTCTCCGAAATCTATTTACACGCCAACTCATTTCTCCGACACCATAATGCCGACATGCTATTTCACCTACAGCACATTTTTTCGATATGACAGAACATTTTCCCGACAATCATTTCCTTGACATAAAATTGGCTCGATTTAGCTTTAGGGTTGGTTGATTTAGAGTTAGTGTTGGTTAGGATTATATTTCGGGGAATAATTGTCTTATCCAAGAAAAGGGTTATCGAAAACATGTAATGTCAAATATATGTCTTATCGAAAACATGTGCTGTAGATGAATTAGCATGTCGGCGTTACGGTGTCAGGGAAATGAGTTGGCTAGTAAATAACTTTCGGGGAATTGTGTCGTAACCATTTGAATATATATCTTAAAAATTCGAAATCATTAAAATTAATTTTTTTAGAAAGTAAGTATAAATATTAATTATATCAATTATAAAAATCAATACTGTAGTTTACAATTATTTATTTTTAAACAATATATGATTCAAATCATTTTATTCACTTCGTTGATTTCTAAGTATTTAAAATAAGTTATTCAAGCTCTTGAATATTTACTATTCAATTTCATTTCAGTCGGTGAGTATAAAGTACATTCATTAATCTAAGTATTTAAAATAAGCTATTCAGGTTCACAAATATTTATTATTTAATTTTATTTTATTTACATTAATTTAGGCTGTAAGTATAAAGAACATTTATTAACCTATGCATTTAAAATAAGCAATTCAAGTTCATGAATATTTACTATTTAAGTTTCATTTTAGTTCATGAGTATTTACTAATCCAAGGATTTAACATAAGTTATTAAGTTCATAAATATTTAACTATTTAATTTCATTTTAGTCAGTGAGTTTAAAAAATATTTATAAATCTAAATATTTAAAATGAGTTATTCAAGTTTATGAATATTTACTATTTAAATATTGCAGTTAGAACATTTATTAATCTAAGTATTCAAAAATAAGCTATTCAATGCTTTTGAATATTTACTATTTAATTTCATTTAACATACTGCAGTTAGTGAGCATAAAGAACATTATTAATCTAAGTTATCTAAGTTCATGAATGTTACTATTTAATTTTATCTTATTTTGGTTAATTTAGTGAGTATAAAGAACATTTATTAGTCAAAGTATTTAAAAAAGCTATTCAAATTTATAAACATTTTTAATTTCATTAATTAGCTGGTTAGCATAAAATTATTTGCATTTAAATTTAAGAGTAACATAATGCAATTGATAACTACATAAATTCAGATTATGGGGAAGCGCGGTATCATGCAGGTGACCCTGACATAGCAATTCAAGAATGGACAAGTGGAAATAAGAATATTGATAATTGCATGAAAGAGTTTCAACTTAGAACTTATTATTACAAATATATGATTGAGTCGATTCTTATTTCCATAGACTAGTTAATATTAAACATTGAAGAAGGACATTTGATTCTGTATTTTCTGCAAACTGGTTTGATGGCATACGAATAATCACTGTTAGTCAAGAAATACAGAAAGTTTTTCGCGACGAATATGTGAGAATCCGTGAACCATCTAGCAAAGTACCTTGTCAAGTTCTAAGAATAATCTCAAGATTTTTTAAAGAAGGTAACTAGAAAATTTAAAGATCTATAAGCTAGAATTATGGTGAATTTTTAAATAAAATTAAATCCGTAGTTAAATAGAAATAGACAGACAAAAGAAGAATAATTCTTTGTAAATAATGAATAAAGGTTAATAATCAAATATTTAGATATTTTTTAAATTTTCAATCCGTAGCTTTAATATATTTCATTTTACTGCAAATAAATTACTTAATTATATAAAATCAACTTTTATACTTATTATATTAGCATTTACTGCCATCACTACAACGAATAGTACCACCTTCCGAACCTTCTCCGCCAATAGTGCTTGGATCAATTTTGGCGCTTGAACAATAGTTATCTACATTGCCATTGCACTGGAAACACTGTGTATTATTTTTAGAAAAACCCCATCCAAGACAATTCGGATTTGCAACACATGAATTACAGCAATTTTGTGGAGTGGAACTATTGAAAGAACTCGAGTTAGTACACGAGTAATGTATCTCATTGTTCCATCCTGGACTACCACGTGATTGACAACATGCTGGAGTTGTCGTTGGAGTTTGAGTGTTTGTTTTGGTTAGAATTTCTGTTGAGTTTTCGTTGCCGTTGGAGTTGTTGTTAGTGTTGTTGTAGAGCATGTAGTTTTTTTATGCATAACCGTGTGTTTATTAGCTAGTTTATTAATAGGATTAATTTGGATTAATAGGAATATCAAGGCGAGCATCAGTAGAAATACCAAGGCGCGCATCAACAATAATAGTTAATGCAACTAAAATCGAACAAAAAATATTTATAAAGAGATTAAAGGTTTTATAATTCATATTGTTTAAATTATGTTTGAAAAAAATATAAATTACTAAATTTTATTAATTAAATGTAAAACGAGAAAGTCTTTAGTTTTACGCTTATATAGAAAAATTTAGATGGCGAAGTCTATTTCATAAATTTGACATGTTTAATTACATGCATCGTACAGCTTTTTGGCATGTTTAATTACCTGCGTTTGCACATATCGTTACGAAAATCGGTAAAATTTTTATTTTTTTTAGTGTTAGAGTAGGGAGTTTAGATAAAGGTGATTTATGTAACAAAATCTCATGAGGAACATTTTTTGTTAGAGCTTTCATATGCAATTTTTCTAGATAAGGCCACACAAAGTTGATTTTTCGTTTTGCATTACCCGCCGACCCAAATTTTTCAAAAACTTGGATTTTTTTTTTTTTTTTTTTT